ATCTTCTTTCGATTGAGGATTAACACCTGAATTCTACATAGTTTAAAGGCAGGATAAGAGGATATTTTGTGATGCTAAGTTGGAGTTTCGTCTAGAATTTTGTTTTATTTACCACAGACAAAAAGTATGTCAAAGGAGATAAGGTTATTATGGTATCCGTGAGCTCTTTGCCTGTTAATGCTCATTAAAATCTTTCAAATTTTATTTACTCTCTATGACAAAACAAATAGGTTGTAAATGTGGAGATATTAAGTTTCTTCAAAATTGAAAAAAAAAATCTAAAACTTATTAAATTTAAATGCGTTTTATGCATCAAAAACTCAGATTCTCCCCAAGCTTTATTTACTTTTTCACATAAAGAAATAATTTTTCTCAAAACTTCTTTCTTTCGTCTCATTTCATTATATTATTTTTCAAAAAAGAAACGATCAAGTGTGAATGACCCAATTTTTTTTTTCTTTTTAAAAACATAAATTTATTTTTGTGGGTTCACTGTGATGAGACTTCATAATTCACAAATGTGAAAGAGAATAAAGTGAGAAATTTTAATTTAATTGCGCATTTAGTGAGCTGAAGTGGCTCGGTGGCGGAATGGTTTAGTACTTCGGTACCTAATTATTGCAATACCGACACAGCGATCATGGGTTCGAGACTGGGTATGGGAAATTTTTCACTTGTCCTTTTTCGAATCATATGTACTGGAAATGAGGCTCACAGCCTTCCTTTGTAGGCTACAGACAGAAATGTCATCAAAGGAGTGGTTCGGATTCCACTATAAATTGTAGGTCTAGGTTTGAGTGCAGTGATTTGGCGCATCCTTACTCGTTAAACTCACATTAGCTGCGAATCGCCCTAGCGCACCTCTGGATCACAATTGATCTGAATAGGTAAAGGTTTTTTTTTTTTTTTTTTAATTGCGCATTTAGAAAAAAATCAAAGCAAATAAATCAATTTATTGATGATTTGTTTTGATGAAAATTATTGAAAGAAAGGAAATAAATTATGGCATGTTTAGATTTTGTAGATACAGTGGAATCTGTCGGATGAAGTAGCTTTTGTGCGATGTGCCCGAGTAGCACAAGTCGGATAATCGAGATGAAATCCTGCGCTAGGGCGACGTGGTTACGATCTAAGAACGAATTTCTCGTCATGACGAAAAATTTGCCCTAAAGTCGCCGTGATATCTTCCTTGCGTAGGATTTCGTCTTGATTATCTGACTTGTGCTCTCCGGGGTGATTTACATGAGAGATTTCTTCGAACTTTTAAGTAATTCTTAATCAATTCAGAACTCAATTTGATGAAGAATTACGAGAACTCAAGATTATTGATGCTAAATGTCGGTTTTAAAGACAGAAAACGAAGCAAAATCACATGCTGAGAACATTTTAATATTTAACACTCAATTTATATATCATAACTCTTCAAACTACACTAATTCCACATTTAGCAGCAAATTAACCATCAAAATATTAACTCAACATTCAAAAATCATCAAAATAAGCACAAAAATGCCACCAGAATCGATAAAAAATTTCATGTTAATGCCTAATTAAGTCGACATTATTTTCACAAAAAGCTTTAATTTAAATTAAAATTTTAATTCACTTTTTTGTTTACAAACACGAAACTAATTTCCTATTTAATGCAACTTTATGAGGAGCTTGATCAACATTAAGTTTTATTTCATTTGAAAAATTGAAATAAAATAGTTTTGCTTCGAGGCAGGCATTATCAGCTTATTGTGGGATTTAAATTACTCTAAGCCAAAAATATATGAGCAATCCGATTATTTGATATCATACCCTTACTCGTCTAACAGCTAATGATGCTTAAATTTCCGATTCTCATTAAATTTTATGTTTTTCAGTTTGGATTTTGTGAACTTATTTTGATCGTTTATTTTTCTTATTTTTTGTTTGGCTTTTTGGAAATTTAAATCTACATAATTTCGGATTTTAGATCTTTTTTGACAATATTGAGGAGTTTTTTAATTTTTTTTGAATTTCTACAATTTTAAACATCATGAGTAGTTTTGATTGTTTTCAGAATACTCCCTAACATTCAATAAATTCCACAATTCCACACCACAAAGTTTCAACTGTACAAATTAATTAACTTGTCAGTAAAATATTTAAAACAATAAATAATAATTTACAGAAGATACAGAATAACAAAAAAGATTAATTCTTATAATTTGCACTTCATCAATATCGTTAAAATTGATGAGAACACTGCACGAAATCTGAGATACTTAAAATAAATTACTGTATAAATTTCCTCGTTTCACTAATTATAGACACTGAAATTAAATCCACACCTAATTGTTCGATTATAAATTGATAATAATTCATTTTATATGCAACTCTTCTTCTTCTACTACTATGCGAATGCCATTTGTCTCTTTTTCTCACTCATTTGCATACACATTCTCTAGATTCTCGAACTAATGCACTTAATACACATGTAACATGCAAAATAAATAAATAATTATACCTTTTCCATAAAAACAATCGCAACGAACTGTGTTTAGTTTACTGATCGAATAGCACATGACAAATGAGCGATAATTTGCGGTCGCTTCATTGTCGCATTGTTTTTGTGTATGGAAGCATTGTACACATGCAATATGAGTTAAAATAAAAAGAAGTGGAGATTTCATAACGTGTAAAGGAGGGGAACTCGCGTACTTGCTCAAAAGTGAAGATGATTTTTGCAAGAATTAAGTTGTTTTGTTACATGAAAAAAATAAATGTTATGAATGTTCTTTGGATGTGAGGAAAGATGTGTAGGTTATGGTGTGAAAATGTCACTTGTTCTTGTGTGTTTTGGCACGTTGGAAAAATTTTATTTATTTTTTTGTTGCTGCATTTAAAAAAAATTGAAAATTTTTCATATCGAACCAGTTTTGTTTCTAATTCGATCATCTAAGACTTATACGTAAAAAGGTTATAAAGCTTAGTAAAATATGGAATTAATGTACTTCTTCGTTTATCTCCCCACGCAACTGGAATGATGCATATTTTCTAAATTTAGGTATTGTCTGATCAAATTGGTGAATTTATAGATCAAATGATTGATTTGCTGAGATTGCAAAACAATCTTTTCAAGTACCAACTGATTAGTTCTGATTCGTACATTTTAATAGCCGCTCAGTTTTGTTATTAGAAAAGGGTCATCAAAAAATTAAATAAAAAGAGGAGCTATCTGATTTGCCAATATTAGTACATTTAGTATTGTTAATATCTTTATACAGTATAAACCTTTCATTATGGTTACAATGTATTGATCGCTTTTAATGCCTTTAATTGTTCATTACTTCATGTTAATCAACAAATTAATTCGAGAAATTGAACGATTGTTTGTTTGTTTTATAGATTTGAATTACACTCTTTGAATAAATGAGGCTCTGCAAATAGAAATGAGAAGTAAGCATTTTTCAGTTATCAGACTATATTTTCTAATTCTTTGTTCAAAAGTATATCATATTATATATTTTTGGAAAGGTCTTGATTTTAGGGATACAAAAAACTTAATTATATTAACCAATTTTATCCAGGGTTGGAACACTAGTGCTCAGAATATGGTGAAAACCATACTTTTTCAACGCTCTTTTTCACCTAGTTCCAGTTGGTCAAAAAGTATGCTTTTATGATTTTTAAATAGATAAAATAACATACTAAAACGCAATATAGAGTTTTTTAAAAAACAACTTTGGGAAACAGAAATATGAATTTTTCAACTCTGGCAACTTTTAATCAATTAAAAAATCATAGAAAATTTGATTAAGTATCTTAATTTTTAAAAAAGTAATTTTATTGTGGTTATCATTGAAAATCACATATAACGTATTTTTAACATTTGAATATTATGTAATTCAACATATTTTATGTTTATATTATTTCACTTTATAATACCTATTCAAATCCGTTTAAATTAATTCAAAACTCGTTTCCTGTGATTAGTTATCCTCATTTTAGTGGATATCCCATATAAAAGTTGCCAGAGTTGAAAAATTCATATTTCTGTTTCCCAGAGTTGTTTTTTAAAAAACTCTGTATTGTGTTTTAGTATGTTATTTTATCTATTTAAAAATCATAAAAGCATATTTTTTGACCAACTGTAACTAGGTGAAAAAGAGCGTTGAAAAAGTATGGTGTTCACCATATTCTGAGCACTAGTGTTCCAACCCTGGATAAAATTGGTTAATATAATTAAGTATCCCTCAAATCAAGACCTTTCCAAAAATATATAATATGATATACTTTTGAACAAAGAAATAGAAAATATAGTCTGATAACTGAAAAATGCTTAATTCTCATTTCTATTTACAGAGCCTCAAATCATTGTAATAAATCTTTGATATTAAGAACTTAGAGGAACTTAGTTTAAAAATTTTGATTATTTAATTTCCAAAATCTAAATTAAGAATAAATTTTTATTTGATAGTATTGTACGCGCTTATTTGAGTAATCTACACCTCACAAAAGTATACTTTAAAAATGTGCAATGAAGAATACAACTTCATATCATTATGATATAGTTCAATCTGTTCAAATATTTGAATCTATTGATACATCTAGAAGGAAGACGCAAACTTCTAGATGACGAAACCACAGAAAAAAGTATAACTCCGAATAACAGATCCTGAGCGGGACTCGAACCCACGTCCTACGATTCCCGGTCGTATGCTCCTACCTCTGAGCTATTGGGGGTTACATGACTGTATGGCTAAATCCCATATATAAGTTACACTCTTTTTACTGTTCCCTTGCACCACATGATTTATCGTTGACTGGCTTTTACATGGAATCGCATATTCCAACAGAATCCATTGATATAACCATTCTCAATAATTCTCTATTGTCACTAATTCTCATTTGTCGTGTACACAAGTGCATTTTAACATTATGAAATCCCAAAATATACTAATTTAATGCTTTCAATAACGACAACAATAATTTGTTTCATTTAATTGAATTCATAGCGAATCTATAATTACCGAAGGTCAGTCTGCTTCATGAAGTAACTGTCAAAAAGTCCATTCTCATTGTGTACTGCATTTGGAACATTCAATAATTGACTAAACAGTGACGATGTTGGAATGAAGTCGAGTTTTGATTGGTCAATTTCCTGCCTGCGTCGCTTTGGAGGACAAATAAAGTCGCGTTCAGACAACGTGTCCTGATTGTCTTGATCTAAAACAGAAAATAAAATTTTTGCAATGAAAAAAGTTCAATTAATTTATTTAAAAAAATGTTTCTCACCATTTTGAGCATCGACATGCACAACTGAACCAGTTTCAGATGAACCAGAACTAAAACTGTCATTTTCTGACCATTTTCCATTCCCATAAAGTCCATTCTCTTCATCATCTGATGTCTCTTCGACAATTGTCTCTAAAATTCCACGCGATGATGATAGTTGTGATTGATGCTCGATCGCTATATTAAAGTCCATAACATCTCCTCGAGATCCATCCGAATAGACTGGTTGCCATGTAAATGGCGAGAATTCTGTCATATTCTCAAAGTCATCCATTGTGTTGCTAGTTCATGGCTTTTGGTTCTAAAAGTAAATGAATAAGATAAAGGTAATTAGTATTTTATGCATTTATAGCATGATAGTTCTGTGGATTGAAGTATTAATATTGATATATTATAGGAAATTAATATTGCTGACGACTCAATGTTTCAAACTCAAATGAATTTTTTCGGATAATGACAATTTACTTTTCAGGATTATCGAAAATTATTCTTATAAAACTATGTTTAAGGCAACTCAGTATACTGCAAGGCCCTTGTTCGTTAAAATTATTAGATTCGAGAGATTGGATTTATTTTAAAGTTAAAATGCAATCTATACTAGTAAAATCAGCAGAAGGCTTTGAAATCAAGAAATGCAATTCGAGTGCAAAGTTTAAATTTAATTCTTTTATCCCACTGACTTTTACAATTCCATTGTCTTCAAGTCATCATTTACGTCAAATGGTAAAAAATTCAATAATTCATTCAATTTAACTCTAATTAAACGTTTGTTATGGATAATTACAAGACAAATAAAATACTTATTTTTTGTAGATCAATCAGTCGGAAACAGCACATGTGAATTATTGCTTCAATTTCATCATAAAATTTTAACTCTTGATGAATTATCCAAAACTAGCAGTTTGTAAGAATATTTGATTTTATAAAAATCTTGACGAAAAAACATATTTTTGAACACAAAGGTTTCTAAGATTAAATTGTAAAAATAACAAGAACTAGTAATTTTCATAAACATGCAATAATTCAGTAAAACAGGATACACCAACCACTAATATAAACTACATATCCTCATCTAATCACTTCTTATACATGCCTTCATTAAATGAAGACACTGCAAAACTTAATGAGAAATCTCATTCCACAGATTCCCATTCACTAGATTGCTACCTGAATAGATATTTTTTATTGCCATCGCACTGCGCTTATTTTACTATAACTAGTGCCATTTTTATCGTTTTTATTATATCCATTTTCATTCATTATTTACTATTATTACAGCTCATGCATATACAACAGTGTAAAACGATTGAAAATCTATTCAAGAAACAATTAAAGAGATGAAGATTTCAATACGATCAGATCTTAATTTGACATTGATTCCTCTTTAACGAATTGCAATAAAAAAAACATTCACAGCGTGACGTAATGGAAAGGTAATTAAAATGATTTTTTTTTTCATTGTAGAAGTTAAAGTAGAAACTTGTTATGCTGATTTTTAAGTATTGAATATTTTAGAAATCATAATATGAAGTGTAACTGAAGAGGCCTCATCGATTTCTATTTGATGTTCATTTTTAATGCCTTACAGAAACTTATTAGCTTGTAAATTTTTTAATCATTCCTTAATTAAAAATTTTGTGAATTTATTATAGTGTTGGGTTTCCCTGATTTGTAGCACTCTCGTAGAAAATTATTTAATCAATATCATTTAATTGGCTTTGATTGACTTCTCATATAAAATAAGCTTTTATACAGTTATGATAGACTAGTTATGAAAGGATAGTGGTCAGGTAATTTTTTGTAATTAAAATTTGTGACGTTTTTATTTTTTTTTTCTTGCAAAGAAACAGGATCCGGGACAGTCACGAAAATTTATGTTTGTCTCTCTGACTAGCGCTAAGCAGTTCGAATTATAGATTTAATTTTTTAATGTCCTAAAAAAGTCTTAAACGTAAATATTTGTAATGCTGGTATTTGCTTATACTCCTCCGTCATATTATCAATTTGGACCTTTAAGCTGTAAGACTTATGAAGCAATTTTTAAGAGTCTAGCATGTAGAGGAAGAGAGCCAACCTGTGGCTGTCTTAAAAAACGTCTATTTAGCAGCAAAAATCATTTTTAAAGTAATTCCATTCAAAATTCCACATAAAACAATTAATATCCAAAACAAAAAGCTTTATCGTTAACATGACATATCCTATAAAGCTTTTAAAGCAAAAAACAGTCAACTCGGAAGTCCTTCAATATGGTTTAAGCCATAGTTTCTTGCAATTTATACATAAAGCTATACAAAGTATCAAAAAGTTATAGTCAGCATGTGACCTATTGTGAAAATAAAATTAATTTTATTAGCCATTGGCTAGCTTTAAATGAGTAAATCAAATTACCTATAAATAATTTAATAATCTAATAGAAATGGTCAGTGAACATAAATAACTAGGAATAAATATAAATAATGGGCAATAAAAGTCCGGAGACTATCAAAAGGTTCAAACTTGAAGTTAAATTATTAGTGCTCACAACAAGCATCCATGTTAGGTATAGATTCATTCTGAACACAATAGATCGTTTGTAACACAAACCAGCAATTTAAAGTCAGAAATTCAATGAAGAAACACCTTTAAGATCACCTAAAGAATATAAAATAGTTGCAATTTTTCACTGTGAATAAAATTATCGGAACAATAAAATCACATTTGCAAATTCTAGCAGTTTTAGACAGCTTGTTAGGAGTCAGATTTAGACATTTGAATATTATTCATTTTGGCATTTAAGAGTGAGTTTTGATGCTTACATAAATGGTATCTTAGGGGATTTGAGAATGTAGATTTTTGCAAGAATTAGGTGGATCAAAATATTTTGGTGCATCTTAGTGTTTTTAAAGGCATATAATATTCATGCATTTAACATTTGTGGAAATTATTGTTGGAAGTATATACTAGGTTGCCTACATCAAGGCTAGAGTAATGGGAGATTTATTACATCTACTTAAGTACAGATAATTGATCAGCACCATGACTTTATTTTCAAGCCTAAAAAAGATTATATTAAGTTTTCAGTATACCAAAGACATCCTCATACATAAAATCAGCTGCTAATGAGCCCATTCAACCTAGTTTTCATGTCTTTTAAATGCTAAAATTCAGCGAGACACGAAATTTCCAAAAAATAAATCAAATTTTCCCTCCAATAAATTTCCATCATTTAATTCGCGACTTCTGTGATGACTCATAGATTTCCTAGATTCCCACAATGACAATTAATTAAATCCATTATATTTTGTCTACATCATTTTCATCGTCATTCATCATTTGAATGGGATCTTGGAAATGTCTTCACTGTCACTTTTAAAGCTGATTTACAACACAAACTAATTCAGATTTACATGCTTCTGTGTATTTTTTAGTACTTTATATAAAAAAAATTGAGATCATTGTCTAGTTGTGCCTAGAAATTTTCGCTTTCATTCAATTTTACAATGCACCATAAAATGGTTCTCATTTAGCAGGCAGCAAAATGTACATCAACGAAACTAATTCTTCTCTATTTTTATGTAAATTTTTTCCACTTTTAATTTTATGCTCTTATTGTTGCCACAATTGCACTACTAAATGTCAGATGATGATGATTCGAAAGTTTATTTTTTGATGGAACGTAACATTTTTTGAGGATTTTTTTTTAATGCTGAATTATAAAATTTTTTGGTAAAAAAAAATTAGAAAATGCGATTTTTTTGTGAGACTTTTTATGACTTTTGGTAAGTCAAAATGTGGATGAATGGATGATTTAAGTGTGAAAATGTGATTTGAATTTTTAATAAATTTTTGAGATGCAAAATTGATTTATTGTGTCAAATTTTGCTGCAGTCAATCTGTGCTTTAGAAAATTGTCATTAAGTCAAAGTCGTAATAACTGGAAAAGCTTTAGGAGCTTTAGGAAGCTGAAATAATTGTAAAGATCTTCAATTCATTCAAAGACTCTTTTAAAAATCATAAATTTATCATCATCAGAACACTAAGCTGCACCCCTGCATCAATTTCATGTTACGATGTCTAAACACGTCTGAAAATTCAGATCTAATTTTAAATCTTTCAAATCTAAGATCTAGTTCCATTTTTTTGCACAAACTCAAACCGCAAAATCATTCATCAAACCAAACCCCAAAACAAAATTTAATCATAGCTCTTGAGTCAATTCCTATTAAGCTTATTAAACATTTAATCTTAATTCAAATTGCCCACAAAAAAGCTACTGCAAATTTGTTTCTATTCTAGCAATTTGAAACGCATTTTATGCTTTAAAGAATCTTTTGACTTGTCAGCTTAGATCACAAAAAAATAACAATTTTTCGGTCATTTTAAGTCACATGCAAGACGGAAATATCAACCAATTGAGTCAAGCATAAAACAGACAGAAAACAGCAATTGTCATTCAAAGATTTTGATGTTGTCCAAATGTTCTTGATGTGGAAAATTTGACAGACTCGTGCATGCACTTTATTGCTATCGTTAATTAAATTTAATGGATTTTCATTGAGCTGGAAGTGGTTATGAGTGGAATTGAATAGTGTTAAAGTGTCAAGCAGTTTTTGGTTGATAAAAATTAGATTTAAAATATTCTCCGAGATATAACAGATGCTTTTCAAAGGGTAGCAACCTAATAATTGTGTATGAAAAGCAGATAGTGCTTTCCTTTACCGCAAAAATCAAAGAAATATTACAAAACCATTTAAAAGCTTTAAAACAGAACCAAATATGCACAATTCACATATTACTTCAAAAAGAACCGGCAAATTAAGGAAATGACAATTGTAAAATCATCAAATTTACGATTTCTCGAAAAACTTAATGTGTGACTCAAATCTTGCTCAAATCATCGTCCACACGTTTCACATTGCATTATCGATAAAAAGAAATCACATTTTGCTTACAGATAAATTCATGACACATTTTTATTGTGGTAAGGAATTAAAAAGTTTTGAACTTCAAAGCGATGCAAACAGTTATTGGGAACACAGATTAGGCCGGTAAATGTGACAGTAGTTATAAATCTATTGTTATCAAAATTAAGCTGATAAAATAGATACGCTTTGATTCTTTTATCTCGTATTTTGATGAACGTTTTGAGACATGAGATTTTGAAGAGATTTTTTGGGGGCTTGCTGATCAGTTATTGACAATCAGATGCTGTTTTGATTGTGGAATGAAATTATTTAAAATTAAAATAAAGATCCAAACGCTTATTAAGTTTGCAACCAAATAACAAAAAGATGCTAGCTTTGAATGCAATTTGACTTAAAT